AGTTACTGTTGGTAATATTGGAGATAATCTGATAACCTCTATTTTCTTAGGTATTGTAAGATTATCAAGATAATCTTATTTTTGTTATAATTTTATCTCTTATTAATAAAATTTTAGGACAATAATACCCTTATTTTTAAATTAATTTACATGAAACTGGCCTTTACTATTTCACCCCATTAATTAACTTTTTGGATAAAATTACCCTTGAATTCAAAACAAATTGCAATCCACCCAAGCCACCACCCCTACCCACCTGTTGCCACTTACCGCCAGCCAAACTACCGCCAACCGCCGCCAAAAGTCGTTTGGAGTCGCCATGAGTAGTTGAGAACGGCCAGATCTACTCCGATATGGCATTTTCAACCATCACTATAGCTAGAAACGGCCATATCAGAGCCTCTCGGTGTTTCTCAGCTACTCATGGCGACTTCTGACAGCGGATGGCCGTGGTGGGCAATGGCTTGGGGTGGTGGGGTGATTTTGTTATAAATTAAAGTTTTATATAAGTGGGGGTGTTTTAGCTAAATTTGAAATGTTGGGGGTTAAAAAAATTATTCAAAAATTAATAATAAAAATAATATTATATTAATATTTAAAAAGAAGGCAATTTAGTAATTTAAATAACATACCCACCAATTTATTCCTCCTAGCCAAACATATTAATATAGCATACCCACCATTTATTCTAGCTAACCAAACACATTTTCCTAAAGATTTTCAATAATCTTTAAGGTAATCTAACTTTCTAGTAATCAAACATTCTCTAAATCAAATGCACCATTTTATGCAGTGCTTTAGAAAAATTAGGAGTCATGGCTACATATGTAGCTTGTTAAATATGAAACCTTGATACGGTGTCGCATTGGATAAGTAGTGTGCTGCCGTTTTAAGTTGCTTGGGAGAATGCTGGTCGTAGATGGCAAGAGTGATCCAATGGCTGAGATTTACACTTAAGTCAATGTTATATAAGCAACCCCAAAATGAAGATTTTTACATCAGTTTTCTTCTCTTTCGGGTGAAAGCTAGTGCTCTCTTAATTTTTCATTTTTCAGTCCAAAATCAGTGTAGCTTCAGTGAGTGAGTGATTAGTTCTTAGTCATTCTGTGAGGGTTGTTTGTTCTCTCAAAGATAAGAGATACCAGGAAGAGTTTCTCTAGATTAGGAGTTACAAAGTGAGTTTTGGTTGTGAATGAGTGAAAGATTGATTGATCTTTGTTCTTGTAAACTGTAAGTACTTGATTAATTAGTGCAGTGAGCCCCAAATATTCTGGAGCTCAATGTGGATGTAGTCTATCCAATCTTGGTAGGTGAACCACGGTAAAAACCTTGTGTCTTTTCTTGATTGTGTTTTTGTGTGGATTGTTTTGGCTGTGTGATTGATTGATATTGGAGATTGATTGTTAGGCTTGGATCTTTACAGTGGTATTAGAGCTAGAATGTCTAGGGTTCTTCATTTTTCTTCGATCTGTAGGTTTCTTGAAATCTGGGGTTCATAAATAATTGGGGGGTTTCTTAATTGATTAGTCTCTTAATACTCTAAAGTTTTTAGATCTGAAATTTGAGGTGTTAATCGTTCAATTAGGTAGGTTTCTTGAAATCTAGGGTTCATTGCTGCCATGTTGTACTCTAGAGTCATTAATCTTGTCAAACTGAGTTGTCAATTCTCTGAAATTAGAGATCAATTTCGATTTCTAAGGTTAGTCAGGTAAATTCTTGATATCTTTACCAAACTTCACACAATGTCTGCCACACGGATGGTGATTACACAATATGACGATAAAATCGACTTCAATAGCTGGAAGAAGAAGATGAAAGCGCTGTTTTCCCACAACAAGGTAGCTGTTGCACTAGAAAAGAATGCGGAGAAATGGCTAGAAGAAAAATTAAAGAAGAAGACATAAATAGATGAGGAAGCGTATAATCTGATCGTGATGAACCTTTCTGATAATGTTCTAAGGAAGGTAGACGGCCTGGAGACTCCTCTTGCACTATGGGGTAAACTCGAAACACTATATTCTTTGCAATTTGCACCAAATCTTGCATTTTTAAAGGGTGTTTTGTTCTCCTGTAAAAGGGATAGTTCTAAGTCTATTGATGATAATCTAGATGAATTCCTTAAAATGACTTTGATACTGAAAGGTACATACCAAGAATTACGGGACATCAGTCTTGCTATGATATTGTTAAATTCAATAACTGAAGAGTATCAAGTAGTTAAGAATGCTTTGCAGTATATTGGTACAGTACCTAGTCTAGATCTAATTATAGCTAGTTTAAAAGCTAGGGAATTAGAGCTAAAAGTCCGAAATGAAATGGTAATACACTGTTTATAAAGGGTAAAATTGAGTTTGGTCAACCTAGTAAAGGTACTTAGCATAACCCTAGTTCTAAGAATAAGAAGAAGGGAAAGGGGAATAATAAGCCTAAAGGAGAAACAAGAAAATGTTGTTATTGTAACAAAACAGGCCACTTAAAGAAAAACTGCTTTGAGTGGATTAAAAACAGAAACAGGGAAACATATAGAGTAATTTAGCCTCAACCAAACATGTCATTGAAGAGTTTGAAGTTCTTATAGTGTTTAAGTCAGACTGTGTACAGGTTTGGGTATTAGACTCAGGATGTTCTTTTCACATGAGTCTAAATAGAAAGTGGTTTCAAGATTATGAAGCATGTGAGCATGAGACTATTTTCATGGGTAATAACAATGCTTGTGAAGTGAAAGGGATGGGTAGTATAACCTTAAAGTTGAATGAGGGGAAGCTAATTAAACTGATTAAGGTTAGGTTTATCCTTGAACTCAAAAGGAATCTGATCTCCTTCGGAACTCTAGACGAGTTTGGCTGTTGTTATAGGGCTGAACATGGTTGTCTGAATATGTATAGAAATAACAACCTTATCTTGAAAGGTGTGAAAATGAATGGGCTCTATATTCTCTGTGGTAACTATTATTTTGACTGTTTCAATTCTGCTCTTGTTTCTACTAACCTTTCTGTGACAGAGAAGTGATACATCAAAATGGGCCACATGAGTCAAAAGGGGATGAAAATCCTCAACTAGCAAGGACTGTTTGGTAAGGACACTACAACTACTCTTGACTTTTGTGAGAATTGCGTGTTGGTTAAACAACACAGGGTGAGTTTCACAAAAGGAACTCACCTTGCCTCAAATTGTTTGGAATACCTCTATTCAGATCTGTGGGGACACGAAAAGGTCAGGTCCCACGGGGAAAATTATTATTTCATGTCTATAGTAGATGATTTCAATAGGAAAGTGTGGGTTTACCTTTTGAAATCTAAAGATGAGGCCTTAGCTAAGTTTAAGAGCTAGAAGTTGTTAGTGGAGAATCAAATAGATAAGAGGGTGAAGGCATTAAGAATAGATAATGGCCTAGAATTTTGTAATGCTAAATTTGATCAATTCTATAGTGATCAAGGAATTCTTAGGCATAAGATTATTAGAATGACTCCTCAGCAAAATGGTGTTGCTGAGAGGATGAGCAGGATCTTATTGGAGAAGGTTAGATGCTTCCTATTTACTTCAGGATTACCAAAACCTTTTGGGGAGAAGCTTTGACTACTACAACCTACTTAGTGAATAGAAACCCCTCTAGTGCCATAGAATTTAAGTGTCTTGAATAGAAATGGTCGGGGAGGATGCCAGCCTTGAGCCATTTAAGAGTGTTTGGGTGTGCTGCCTATGCACACACAAATGAAGGCAAGTTAGAACCTAGATCCATTAGGTGTGTTTTCTTGGGATACCAAGAAGGAACCAAGGGGTATAGGCAATGGCACAAAGAGTCACCAAGGGTAAAAATCATGGTTAGTAGAGATGTGATCTTCAATGAAAATGTGTTTCCATGCAAATATGCTAACAGTGATACAAGTACCTCTAGTAATAATGAAGAAAATCCCAGTCTAACAGATGTTACTCCAATTAAGGTGGAGCCAACAATACAGCAACGTAATCTGCCATATTCCAAGACTGAATTTGAACCTGAAACTGCACTAAAACTTGTTGAACCTGCCTAAGAAGCTTAAGATGTAACTGGAGAGATTGAGGAACATCAACATGTTGACTTGCAACAATACCAATTAGCAAGGGACAAAAGCAGAAGGGATATTAGACTACCTGCAAGATATTCTTATGCGGATTTAACGTACACTGCTTTGCTTGCAGGTACTGAAGTCTAGAGGATAGAACCTGATACTTTTGAAGAAGCAATGAGGTCCAAGGACAAAGACAAATGGTGGGCTGCCATGAAAGAAGAGATGCACTCACTTAAGGTAAATAGAACATGGTCTTTGGTCCCTAAACCCAAAGATCATATACTAATACAGTGTAGGTGGCTGTTTAAACTTAAAGATGGCATGTCTGTGCACAATTCTCTTAAATATAAAGCTAGATTAGTAGCTAAGGGCTATACCCAAAAAGAAGGCATATACTTTAAGGAGATTTTCTCTCTGGTAGTTAAGTATAAAACCATCAGACTTATGCTATCTTTAATTGATCATTAGGACTTAGAATTAGAGCAATTAGATGTAAAAACAATATTTTTGCATGGTAACTTAGAAGAGGAGATTTTCATGTGCCAATCTCCTGGTTTTGTAGATAAAAATCTACCAAATCATGTATGTTTACTGCATAAGTCTTTGTATAGTCTAAAACAATCAACTAGGTAGTGATATAAAAGGTTTGATTCCTTTATAGTGAGTGTTGGGTTTATAAGGAGTAAGTATGATAGTTGTTTCTATTTTGCATTAAGTGATAACATGCCAATTTATCTATTACTGTATGTTGATGATATCTTACTTATTAGCAAATCTAAATCTAGGATAAATGATTTAAAACAGAAACTTAGTTCTGAATTTGATATGAAGGACTTAGGTGTTACTAAGAAAATGGTAATAAATAGAAACAGAGTAGGTTGCGAACTTAAAATTCAGCAGGAGTCATACTTATAGAAATTGGTTACTAAATATGGGATGTCTGGTTCAAAGATGGCATCTATGCCTTTAGCTAATCACTTTATGTTAAGTAAATCTCAAAGCCCCAAGTCTAATTCTGAGTTGATTAAAATGAGAAATGTACGCTATTCTAATGTAATAGGTTTAGATATGTATGCTATGATTAGTACTAGACTAGATCTGTCCTTTGATATTTCTCTACTTAGTATGTTCACGTCTAATCCTGGAACTGAACATTGGTCTACATTAAAATGGTTGTTGAGATATATTAATAGTACATCACATGTTGGTTTAGAATATTTTAAGAGAGGTAATGCACTTGATCTTATGGGATATGTAGATTCTGATTTTGCAGGAGACAGGGACACTAGGAAGTCAACTACCTCTTATTTCTTCACTTTTGGTGGAAATTGTGTGAGTTGGAAGTCTTGGCTACAACCAATTGTAGAACTATCCATAATTGAGGCAGAATATGTAGCAGTGGCAAATGTGTTCAAGGAAGCTTTGTGGCTTCAAGGAATACTATCAGAAGTAGAACTGATGGATGGTGTGGTGACAATATACTCTGACAATACTCTAACAACCAAAGTGCAATACACTTGAGTAAAAATCTTGTCTACCATGAAAAGACCAAGCATGTGGATGTTCGATTCCATTTTGTCAGAGACTTGGTAGCACGAGGAGTGATTAATTTGAAAAAGGTGGCGACTGAAGACAATCTGTCAGATTAAGGTTCCAAAACTGTTACTGCTGCCAAGTTCAAGCATTGGTTGGACTTCTTGTTTATAAAATAGGCAGCAGTAACTGAGCTATGATAGAATATATTAAAGGTAAGCTACACTAATAAGGTTCTGTATTGATGGGAATTCTAAGGCTTCAAGGTGGAGATTGTCAAATATGAAACCTTGATACGGTGTCGCATGGGATAAGTAGTGCGCTGTCGTTTTAAGCTACTTGGGAGAATGCTAGTTGTTGATGGCAAGAGTGATCCAATGGCTGAGATTTACACTTCAAGTCAACGTTATATAAGCAACCCCAAAATGCAAATTTTCACATCAGTCTTCTTCTCTCTTTCGGGTGAAAGCTAGTGATCTCTTAGTTTTTCATTTTTCAGTCCAAAATTAGTGTAGCTTCAGTGAGTGAGTGATTAGTTCTTAGCTATTCTGTGAGGGTTGTTTGTTCTCTCAAAGATTAGAGATACCAGGAAGAGTTTCTCTAGATTAGGAGTTACAAAGTGAGTTTTGGTTGTGAATGAGTGAAAGATTGATTGATTTTTGTTCTTGTAAACTGTAAGTTCTTGATTAATTAGTGCAGTAAGCCCCAAATATTCTGGAGTTCAACGTGGATGTAGTTTATCCAATCTTGGATAGGTGAACCACGGTAAAAACCTTGTGTCTATTCTTGATTGTGTTTTTGTGTGGATTGTTTTGGCTGTGTGATTGATCGATATTGGAGATTGATTATTAGGCTTGGATCTTTACATAGCCTATAAGCCTATAAAAGGCAATGTCTTTTCTCATTTATGATTGTATTGGTTGAAGCATTTGATTCCTCTTAAAATGTATTATTATATAATTTTTGCTTTTGTTTCCATTCATTGCTTCCTCCTTCTCCATCAAACCCAACACATAACTCCAACTCGAAAACCCTTTCTTTTCTTTTCTTCAACATCAACCTTTCTCTTCATCCAAACGTTTCCCGTGTACATCAATCTTGTCTTCTTCCAAACCCTCCTCCTCTGTCAACATTAACTGGTTTTTTTTTTTTTTTTTTTTAATTTCTTATGAATTTTCTTTCTTTATTTTTTATAGTAGGGAATGTTAATCTAGCAAATTCCTAAGATAATTGGAATCTTATGTTGTTTCTTTTGCCAACAACTTTTGTATTATAAAAGGTCCAGAGACTGTTCAAGATTTTGTCCAAATGCAGCTCAAAGAAATCCAAGATAGTATTAAGGGTGCGTTTAGTTCAGGGAATGTTGGATTACTGGAATCTTATATTATGTTGAAAATTACTGAGAATCTTTAAGAAAATGTGTTTGGTTAGTTGGTGGGTATGTTATATTAATATGTTTGGTTAGGGGGAATAAATTGGTGTGTATGTTATTTAAATTACTAAATTGCCCTCTTTTTAAATATTAATAAAATATTTTTTTTATTATTAATTTTTGAATAATTTTTTTTAACCCCCAATATTTCAGATTTAGCTCAAACACCCCCGCTTATATAAAACTTTAATTTATGACAAAATCAACCCCACCCCTTGCCGCCGCCTGCCGCCACCGCAAACCACTGTCGAAAGTCTCCGAAAGTTGCCGTGAGTAGCTCACCGTGACCACGAGGCTCCGATATGGCCGTTTCTGGTCATATTGATGGACGAAAACAACCATATCAAGCCAGATGTGGCCTGTAACGTAACACCCTACTTGAGGTACGTAGCTAATGTTTCTTATTTGCTCTTATTTGAGTCAGTTTATTATTAATATTGGTTGGTTGGCTTTTGGTAGTACTGATATGTTGAGTATTGCCTTGAAATTGGTTGGAGTTAGAGGATTTTTTGGGGTTCTAGGCTTCGCGGGGGCGAAGAATAATCTTCGCCGCGGTGAAGATGTGTTGCAGCCACGGAGGAGCTGCTGGAAAGTTTCGCCGCGGCGACGGGTCGGCTGAAAATATTGTTAAGTTTTAGATATTTTATTCTCTAAGGACAATTTGACCATTCTACCCCTAATTAGTAGGAAAAGTGGGGAGTAAACTATAAGGAAAATTCATGGAGAATATGTTGGTGTGGGGGTGTGATTGTAATGAATCAAAGGATATAGATGGAATTCCCAAGGAAGAGTAAGGGTAAAATGGGAATGCTTGTGCATAAATTGTGTTAAAAGGAATTAAGTCATTGCAAACCCTTCATTCTTCTTCTCCACCGCCATTCTCCTTTCTTACTTCCTCTCAATTCCTTTTTCATTAGTTCAAGGATTTTTTAAAGGGCTTTTGGGAGTGATTGGGGTAGAAAATCAATCTAAGGCATCCTAAGGTAAGGATTCTTGCTTTGGATGTAAGATTTTGTGAGGTTTTGGATATATTTGTATGTGGAAGTCTCATGGTTTTATTGTTTAAAGGGTAGAGACAAGTCAAGCAATCCAAAGGAAAGGAAATGCTAGTCAGATCCCTCCATTTCAAGGTAAGTAAATCCCCACCCAAGTTGAGGTTTGATAACTTTTTGAGTAGAGATTTAATAGCAATTATGTATGTATGTTATGTGCATGTTATATGCTATGAAATTGAGATTATTGATCCATGTTGTGATTGAATACACTTCATTGAAGAGAAGTGTTGATATGTGATGAGAAGATGTAGTTGAGATGAAGTTTGGAAGGTTTTGAGTAAACATTTTTAGAAGTGTTATTCCTTGGCAGGATTTATAGCTATGTGAGGGAATTTCTCCCATTTGGGATGGTTAGAGAAAGAAATAGAGCTATTGTTATAGTAGAGTCTTTGTATGCACTTTAGTTGTTTGATGAAATGCCTAAGAGAGGTTTTAGTATGAGTAGTAAACCTTAATTCTTGCATCATGACATATTGGCATTTCATAAGTGCATTAGTGAAGATAAACCATCCATATGCATTAATTGTGCGTTGAGAAGTGACTTAAGAAATAGTAGATAACATTGTGAATGCACTTGCTCTAAGAGTAGAGAACTTTGTGAATGAACTACTCTAAGAGTAGAGAGGATGAGAAGTGCTAGAGTAGAGTGAGTGAGAAGAACACTAAGAAACGGGTTGGTGCTTTGTGATCTCCACCCGATAGTTATGAGAAACGGGTTGGTGCTTTGTGATTTTCACCCGATAGTTATGAGGAACGGGTTGGTGCTTTGTGATCTCCACTTGATAGTCATGAAAAGTGGGATGATGCTATGTGAACTCCACCCGGCCGTGCCTCCGGTAAGATAAGGCCATGACATATAACAGAAGTTAATAAAAGAAAGCTGTGTGAAAGAGAAACAGAAACAGAATAAGTGTAAGGGAAGAATTAAGAGAATGAGTTACGGGGATAGACAAGTAGCGGATTTACTTAATGAGCATTATTTTTGTGCTCACCCCGTTATTTTCTTTTGTGGATGCAAGATCTAAGTGATGATGCAGTCGGAGGGGCGTCGGCAAGCGAAGAGCAATAGTTACACTGTTCCCCTGTTTATGAATGATATTTTGTAAATGATACTCTTTTTGTACAAAGAATGTATATAAGTAATACAAGAAAATTTCTGAGCCATTTACTTTTATTATTATACATGTATTTTACTAGTATACAGCAGTTGTTACATGGCCATTAACAGCCAGATCCTTGGCCATTATCGGCCAGATCTAGGCGAGATTTGGCTGTTAACGGCCATGGACCTGGCCGTTAACGGCCAGATCTATTTTGCCCGGAATAGATCTAGCCTGATATGGTCATTTTCAGCCATTAATATGGCCGGAAACGGCCATATCGAAGCCTCCCAGCGAATCTCAGTCATTTTTAGGGACTCCGACAACTTTTCAACGGCGGTCCGCGGTGGTTGGCCCGCCGTCGGCGGTGGTGGCTGGGTGGCAGCGGTGGTGGTGGTCTGTAATTTGTTTTAAATATATGGGCATTATTGTCCAAAAACTTAATTAAGCAAGGGTAAAATTGAAATGGTATATTAACATAAATTTATTTTAAAACAGGGGCATTATTGTCTAAAATTTTTATTAATAAGGGATATAATTGTAACAAAAATAAGATTACCTTGGTAATCTTACAATACCTAAGAAAATTGAGGTAATCAGATTACCTCCAGTATTACCAACAGTAACAACTATTGGTAATACAAGATTACTGGAATCTTATATTACTTGACAATCAACATGATAATCAAGTAATATAAGATGACATAACCCCAATAATCTTCCATTACCTCCAACCAAATGCCCCGTAAGAGTAGGCGCAATAAGGTATTTCTTCTCATGGAAGAGGTTGGCTTTCGTTACTTTTCAATTTAATTATGTCTTTACAATTTATATTATTAGAGGGCAAAGGGTATTAGTTCTGTTTTATAGGTTATGATTTGAGGAAATTAGATAGGTTTAGCGTTGTTGAATTGTATTTCAATTAATGCAAGATTGTCTTTTTTTTTTTTTCTTTTTTTTTTTCAATTTTGTTATTATTATTATTTTTTATAGTTAAGGAGATTGAGGGTACAGCAATGCATAAAGGGTTTGAAAGTTATTGATGAAAGCAGCGTGGAAGAGGCCGATGAGATGCCTGACATCCAATCATCTATTCCTTTTCTTTTTCGTGTGGTGAGTGTTTCAGAACAACATTGAGATATCCACTAGTTCTCTATTAATTGTAAGTGCTCAGCAATATCTTATCTTAAGGAGGCATTTGGTTGGGGGTAACGTGAGATTACTGGAGTAATATAAGATTTCGGTAATCTTCAAATACTAATAGTAGTTACTATTGGTAATATTAGAGGTAATATGATTACCTCCATTTTCTTAAGTATTGTAAGATTATCAGTGTAATCTTTTTTTTTTGTGGTTATAATTCTATCCATTATTAATAAAATTTTAAGACAATAATGCCCT